AAAAAAAAAAAGGTTGAGAAGTTAGAGGGTTGATATGTTGTGGGGTTGTTAACCAATGTTATAAAACAACATGTGTACTTCTGTTTCATGAGAAACTATTTGTTCTGTAAGCCTTCACCTGAAATACAATAAAAAACAAAAAAAATTAAAAAAATATATATCTCATAGAGATAGTTTAAGGTAGTTATTTTCTGTGATCTTTGTAGAATCAATAAAGAAATTCCTGACTTGAATATTTTAGGGCATTCTCCTCATAATTACTTTTTTCTAATTTCATATTTTCGAGACGTTGGGTGCCAGATCGCAAGCAGTTTATTAAAATTTGTTCAAGAATAAACTCTACCATAAATAAATCTCTATGGAAACACTGACGCTGTGTTACTTACGTGTCGTCAGTCTCAGTAGCTGTGACAGAGCAACGGTGGAAACTATGGAATTCCTGACAATAAACGTCAGTATCAGAATACTGTTAGCATTTCCTGAAGTTTAATCTTTATGAATTAAGTTAGCCTATAGACGAAAGAATAAACGACTAATATATACTACGAGTAGAAATAGACTCAACGGCACCTAACTAACACACACATGCGCGCACACACACACACACACACACACACACACACACAAAAGATAAACTGGTTACGATGAAATACTTAAAGGAGTCCACCTCAAGAATAAAGATTATCAATTGTCAAAAATTATTAAATGTTTTCTTTAGATTGTTTTATTCTTTCCATGCTTAATAAATGCTTACGTAAATAAATTATAGCACTAGTATATAATATTTATGATACTTACCCCATTTTTATGTGTATTTAGTATGGTAGGTTTCCTTTGAAACAATCTGATTATAAAAATATCTTTTTAAATTGTCTTTTTTTAATAGAAAAAGTTACGCCGATCACAACATGCTCGCAAAGAAACAGAGTTCTTACGGCTCAAGAGGACCAGGCTTGGCTTGGATGACTTTGAGTCTCTGAAAGTTATAGGAAGAGGAGCTTTTGGAGAGGTGTGCTTCTTTTTCAAAGTCAACTTCATTGGAAATTCGATCCCCTGAGCACCTGATCGTCTCTTGGCATATGTAGGGATCTATACCTGCTACAAAATACATATCTTAAAGATAGTTTAAAATACGTATTAAAATATAAGTCCTAAACTACCAGCATTGGCAAATCCCTGCTTTGTTTAAAAGAACCTACCTTTCACATCTGAATAAATAGTAGTGACTGTTTAATGTTTATATTTTTATATTCTAGGTGCGGTTGGTCCAGAAGAAAGATACAGGCCATATCTATGCAATGAAGATACTGAGAAAGGCTGATATGCTTGAAAAGGAGCAGGTATGTGTTTTTAACACATGTAACCCAAAGGACCATAATGATTTGATATATTTCCAAAATCTGTAACCACTTCTTTTGTTATGTTTCTGGGCTCTCTCCATATTTCCTGTGGCTCAGTGCAGTTCTATGGAATGGCCATGAAGTGTGAAAACATCTATAATATTATTTTATGTGTTTACCTATGTTTCTAGTCTGGGTGGACCCTCTCTAGAACCCTAAATTGAGTACGTATTCTAGTGAAGAACTTAACAATGGGAGTATAGAGGGAGATGGCACCTCTCTGTACCTTATGCTTTATTTCAGTCTTTTAGTCCCCACCTGAAGCTTACTTTGTTACTACAGCAACATAGTACTGATTTTTATTTAACTGTGACTCACTTGGATCTATTTTTTCACTGCGTTGTTTCACTTTGTATTTTCATTTATTCAGCAAATATTTATTGGGTGCTTACAGTGTGCCAAGTACTATTCTAGGTTCTGGGACTACAGTGATTAACAAGATAAACCTGATCCTATTCTTTTGTAGTAGTGGAGAAGCAAGACAGCTATTTCAGGTTGTCATGATTAATTCAAAGGATAAGGTGATACAGATGATCGACTTGGGTTTAGGAAAGGAATTAGCTCAGAGAAGGCCTCTCTGAGGATGGAATATTTGACCTGAGACTGAGGATGAGAAGGAGTGACATATATAAAGATCTGGTAGAAGAAAGGTCTAGGTAGAAGGAACAGCACATGCCGAGGCCCGGAGACTAGAATAATATTGGCCTGCTCAAAGAAGAAAAAGAATTCCAAAAGAAGAGAAAGAAGCCATTGTGGCTAGAATTAAATGAGAAGAGTAGTTGGAGATGAAGTAGGAGAGATAGGCAGGGGCCAGATTATGTAGGGCTTTGAAGGCCATGGATAAAGAGTTTGGATTTCATCTAAGTATAATGGGAAGACATTGGAGGGGTTTTGTTTTATTTGAATGGGAGTAGCATGATCTGATTTCTGTTTGTAGGAGAAGCAAGAGTTGAACCAGGGAGATTAGTTAAGAGACTGTGTAGCAGTTCCAGCCACGATGCTAATGTGGTTTATACTGGATTATAACAGTAAAGCTGAAGAAAAGTTAAATAAAGTAAATGTTTTGAAGGAAGAGCCAACAGCGTTTTCTGATAGAGTGTAGGTTGAGAGGTGAGAGTAGTGAGGGGAAGGGAAGAATCAAGGATAATCCCTAGAATTTTGTCTTAAGTAATGGGATACATGGTGATGACATTTTCTGATTTAGAAAAGACAGGAGGAAGAACAGGTTTGGGGGCAGTGGGAATGAAGAGTTTGCTTTGTGGCACATTGAGGTGACTATTAGATATCCAACAAGAGATATTAAGTTGACAGTTGGTTAGAATATGGGGGGAAATTTGAGCTAGAGACATACATTTGGAAGTCATAAACGTATTAATCATATTTAAGGAAGGGGACAAGATGAGAATGCCTAGGGAAAGAGTGTAGATAGAGAAGAAAAGAAAGCCAGATTCAAGCCCTAGGGGATACTAGGTAGAAGAGAAACCAGCAGAGGAGACCAAAAGGGGAATATTTATCTAGTCACATAGTAGAAAACTAGGAGAATGTGGTGCCATGGAAGCCAAGAGAAAAAACGTTTAAGGAAGAGGTGAGTGGTCAACTATGCTTAATGCTGCTAAGAGAGAAAACTAGACGAACACAGGCCATTGGATTTCACAGCATGAAGATTTTAATAAGTTGGTGAGGACAGTTCCAGTGGATTGGAGGGAAGAGCCTAACTGGAATGGTAGAAAAGAGGATGGGAAGTAAGAAATGGAGAAAGTAAGTATAGATAAATCGTTCATATGAAGTAGAACAATGAGTAGATTGATAATGTAAGATTTAGGGCCAAAAAGAGTTTCTGTTTTTGTTTTTTAAAGAGGGGAAATTCTGTAACATATTGAAGAGTGCTGATGGGAAAAATCCATTAGAAAGGAAAAAATTGAAGATGCAGGAGAGAGAGGGGAGGTATTTACTGAAGTATACTGGAAGACAGTTGGAGAAGTTGGCCTTTGGTAAGAGCAGGAACCCTTCCATGTAAATAGGAAGAAAAAGCATAGAAATTGAAACAAGTGTAGGGTGGTTGATAGATCTGGCAGTAGAAAATTTTGAGTTTGTGCCTCAGTGCAAATAAGTGAGGTCATCAGCTCAGAGTTAAAGGAGGGATGGCTTGTTAGAGAGAAGTTTAAAGAGTGAGAAGTTGTGAAATAGTCATTATGAAGTATGAGAAAGTAAATTTGTCAGGGAAATACAGTTTGAATGGCCATTGAGATTTGCAGTCATGACTTTAAAATGAAACCAGTTGGTATAGTTGGGTAATTTTTCTCTAGTAAAACCTAGTTACTCGGGGACAGGTACATAATAGAAAATTGGGTTTAAACCAAGGTTAGTGTTTCACCAGTCAGTTACAGTGAAGGGAGAGAAGAACAAAGGAGTTCAAATCATTTGCAAAAGAGTGATCAAAATAATCTAAGAATCTAGGTTGGTAGAGAAAGAAGTAAGGTTGTGAGAAGGGTCGTAGAGAAAAAGTTGTAAGTCTGTGTAATAGAGGTTGAAGTTCTAGAATGAGAGACAAGGATAAGAGGTGGGAATCAGAAAGAGGGTTGCTTAAAACTGAAATTTTTGAGGGGATGCACTTATTAGTGATGAGAAGGACAAAAAGATTACCGTGAGTAACAGAGGCAGAGTGGAGGAAAAGATCATTGGAGGTGAGTAAAAGGTCAAGGAACCCTATAGATAGGGTTTTTGATGGTTCATTCATAGGGATGTTGAAGTATTAAGAATGGGTAGAAAGGAAGAATGAGCCATGAGCTGAAATCATGAATTCATGAGAGTGATTGACCGGGAGGTCTGAAATCATGGTTCTGAGGAAGGATGATGGCTAATGTAGTCTCACAGCAGCACTTTAAAGGAGTTGGGACTTTTGGAGAAGGAAGGTGTCCAAATGGTTCCGAAGCAGCCATGGGGAATGAGGAGGAAACCTACCCTGTCACCAACACGTGCAAGAGGAGCAGGCTTCAGGAAGACAGAACCCTCAGTAGACAGCCTGGTTTCCATAAGAGTGAGAAGGTGATAGGAACCGTCAGAGAAGAGGTTAAAGGGGACTTTGTTAAAGACTTTTTTGATTCAGGGGGGATAGAATGGAAGAGGTTTGGAAGGCAAGGAGGGTTGGGATATTGCGTTGGATTAAAGAGTTACAGATAATGATGGGAATAAAGAGCTGGGTGTGAAAATACATGGCCTTAGAGACAAGGAGGTAAAATAGGAATCTCATTAAGCCATTATGGGATTAGTCCTGGATATACAGTCTTAGAGGAAGGACAAAGGGGGTAGTTAGTGTAAGCTATAGTTTTTAGCTCCTAGCTACAGGTGCTACTGGGCACTTGAAATGTGCTAGGTCTGAATTGAGATGCACTATAAATGTACAATATATACCAGATTTTGAAGACTTAGTTAAAAAAAAAAAAGTAACTCAATTTTTATATTGATTACATGTTGAAATGATAATATTTTGGATACATTGGGTTATATAAACTATTATTAAAATTAACTTCACTGATTTCTTTTTATTTGGCAACTAGAACATTTAAATTTACATACATTGTTTGTATTATAGTACATTTTGCTGGAACTTGAGCCTCTGGACTCACTATTCCTTCCTATGCAGGAACACTGTCACTGGAGCCAACCATCAAGTCTATTTTGCATTTGGGGTTGTTTTTCCTCCTACATAAATTAATATGCATTTGTTGCCACAGAATTTCACTTCAGAAAACCTTTTCCACAAAATTCTAACATGTCAATATTTTAAGTTTTATCACATTTAGTTTTATTCTAACTACCAAACAAAATTAAGTAACAACTAATCTCTCTGTGGTACCAGATTACTGTGAGTCAGATTTCTCATCCTTTGGATCCCATTTTGGAAACATATCCTGTAAACTGGCTTTAAGATACTTAAAAATAACCAAGTCAACTTTATAATGCAGGTGTTTCTCCTGACAACACCAGATGCAACACCAAAAGTTTCTGGCTTTTCCATTATGACCATAAAATGCTTTTTAAAAGGCAAGAGATCTGATAAGGTTTAACATAAAGAACTCCTACAGCTCAACAACAAAAAAATGGGCAAAGGACTTGAATAGACATTTCTCCAAAGAAGACATACAAATGGCCAATAAGAACATGAAAAAATGTTCAACATTATTAGTCATTAGGGAAATGCAAATCAAAACCACAATGAATAGCTACCATGGCTTCCACCAGACAGAGTCCATTACAGCTAGATGGTGCTTGGCTACCACCACTGACTGCTCTGACCGGGATCACAACAGAGGGTCCTGGACAGAGCTGGAGAAGGATGTAGAACAAAATTCTAACTCACAAAAAAAAAAACCCAGATTTACTGGCCTGACAGACTGGCGAAACCCCAAGAGTATGGCCCCTGGACACCCTTTTAGCTCAGAGGTGAAGTCACTCCCAAGGTTCACCATTCAGCTGGGGATTGGACAGCCCCATAAAACCAAACGGGACTAATGAGGCACAGCAGTCCAGGGACAAGGACTAGAAGGTAGGAGGGGACAAGACAGCTGGTAATAGGGAACCCAGGGTTGAGAAGGGATAGTGTTGACATGTCGTGGGGTTGTTAACCATTGTCGTAAGACAATATGTGTACTAACTGTTGAATGAGAAACTATTTGTTCTGTAAACCTTCATCTAAGGTACAAAAAAAAAAAGAAAAGAATTATCTATGTGAGATCAAATAGACAACAGCAACTCAAAAGCTTTGATGGAAAGCCTGGGGGCAGTGAGTTGAAGATAATGGTGATGGAATAATTTGGAAAAGGATAGAATAGCAGGACAACTGGAAGAATGTAATTGATGTCACTGAATTGTACGTGTAGAAATTTCTGAAGTGGTGTAACTTTGTCTATGTATATTTTCACCAAAAAAAAAAAAAAGTTCTCCAAGGTGGAGAAGGTAGAGGGTTGACGTGTTGCGGGGCTGTTAACCAATGTCATAAAACGATATGTGTACTGACTGTTTGACGAGAAACTATTTGTTCTGTAAACCTTCACCTGAAGTACAATAAAAAAAAATAAAAAATAAAAAAAAGAAAGAAAGAAACCACAGTGAGATACCACTTCACACCCACTAGGATGGCTGTTATTAAAAAAAGAAAAAGGAAAATAACAGGTGTTGACGAGATTGTGGACAAATTGGAACCCTCATCCATTACTGGTGGAAATGGAATATGGTGCAACCTCTGCGGTTCCTGAAAAAGTTAAACATAGGATTACTGTTGTTGTTGTTATTAGCCGCCACAGAGTCGGCCCCTGGCTCGTAGCGACCCCATGCACAACAGAACTAATGCTGCTCGGACCTGCTCCATCCCCATGATCAGCGGTGGATTGGACCATGGGGATTTCATTGGCTGATTTTCAGAAGTAGGTTGCCAGGCCTTTCTTCGTAGTCCATCTTAGTTTGGAAGCTCTGCTGAAACCTGTTCAGCATCGTAGCAACATGTAAGCCTCCACTGATGGGCAGGTGGTGGTTGCACATGAAGTGCACTGGCCAGGATTACCATATGACCCAGCAATACGTCACCTAGTATGTATGGTATGCAGCCAAGAGACTTGAAAGCAAGGACTCAAACAGAGATACATTTCACCAGTGTTTGCTGCAGCATTATACACAATGACCAAAAGGTGGAAAACAACCCAAGTGTCCCATCAACAGATGAATGGACAAACAAAATATGGTGTATGCATACAATGGAATATTATTCAACCATAAAGAGAAGTGAATTTCTGATAACATGCTGCAACACGGATGAACCTTGAAAACATGCTAAGTGAAATAAGTCAGACACAAAAGGCCACGTATTGTATGATCCCACATATATGAAATATCAAGAAAAGGCAACTTCATAGAAACCCGAGTAGTGGCTGGTTACTGGGGCTGGAAATGAGCCCTGGTGGCGTAGTAGTAAAGTGCTTCGCTGCTAACTGAAAAGTTGGAGGTTCCAACCCACCAGCCGCTTAGCAGGAGAAAGATGGGGCAGTCTGCTTCTGTAAAGATTTACAGCCTTGGAAACCCTATGGGGCAGTTCTACTCAGTTCTGTAGGGTCGCTATGAGTTGGAATCGACTTAACAGCAATGGATTTGGTTTTGTTGGGGGGCTAGAAGGAGGGGAAAATGAAGAGGTATTGCTAATGGGAACTTAGTTTCCATTTGAGGTGATGAAAAAGTTTTGGAAATAGTGGTGATCTATTGCACAACATGGTGAATATAATTATTGTCACTAAATTGTACACTTAAAACTGGATAAAATGGCTGATTTTATATATATTTTATCACAATTAAAAAAAAAAAGCAAGAGGTAAGTATTTTTGCTACCATTTTTCATTTAAGGAAACAGATTCAGAGAGACCATAAAATTTTTTGGTGCCAGAAAGCAAGGTCTTGGTTCCTGACTCTTACTCTTGTGTGTAGATCTCAGAGCATTTACTGTACTAGGTAAGAATACAGTAATTTCAAATATGATGTTTTAAGCAGGATATATTTTATTATCTTGAAAAGATTTTAAAAATCTATTTTTCATGTGTTTTGTAGCCAGAAGTTATATTGGTGCACATTGAAAATGGCAAAAACATAAAATCAAATCTTATTGTTAATTAATCTTTGAAGAAAGAATGTATAAAAACATTAATACAAAAGTATCTGCAAATTGACCAGTCCCATGGTCAATGGTATAGATTATACAAACCAATCCAACCCATTACCGTCGAGTTGATTTCAACTCATAGTGACCCTATAGAACAGAATAGAACTGCCGCATAGGGTTTTCAAGGCTGTAAATATTTATGGAAGCAGACTGCAACATGTTTCTCCCATAGAGCAGCTGGTGGGTTCAAACCCTTGACATTTCGGTTACCAAACCCATAGATTATTTAGTTTTAAAACTTACCAGTCTATGAAAAATTTCACTTAATAGTATCCCTAGTAATTATATGTCTGACAAAAATTGGTGACAAAACCACAAAGTTACACTAATTTACTGTAGCTCACGTTTATAGATATGATACAAGTTTTACATTGTAATAATAAGTTAATATTTTATAATATAAAGATATCATAAAAGTTTTTATTTCTTAAAAAGTCAACCAAATAGGTGAAAGTCAAGCCCTTTGACTATTAACAATTAAAAATAGTTTGCTAAGGATCCTAGCTTTGTCATGACAAAGCCTGGATCTTGGCTGGGTGGAGATTCTGGTTAGAAAGTTTTTAGGTAATCATTGTCCTACTTCAGAGGCCTCAGCTTCTCGTAACATATCTGTGGATCCCATATTTTCTGGCTTAAAGATATAAGCTAAAACGGTTTCCTGAGGTTCTCTATATTTAATGAGAATACCCATTGCCATCGAGTCAAGTCTGACTCATAGCGACCCTAAGAGACTATGAACACATGTATATGTTTCAAATTGTATATCTTCTATAACTTTATGACAGTTAGGGAACTGGGTGGATAGTTGTAAGAGGTAAGCTTGAAAAATGCATAATGTGTTACAATTATTTTTTCAAAACATATTCATCTAGGTGGCCCATATCCGAGCAGAAAGAGATATTTTGGTAGAAGCAGATGGTGCCTGGGTGGTGAAGATGTTTTACAGTTTTCAAGATAAGAGGAACCTTTATCTAATCATGGAATTTCTACCTGGAGGTAAAGCAAACATAATAGCGATGATAGATTGACACAGACACATCTTTAGGTGTCATAATAATTTTATTGAGTAGGTTTACTTTCATTTTCCTAGCTGAGGTTTTACATAGTCTGTCAGGGTTTTTCAGTATTTCCTCCCATGGTAATCCTTCTTGACAAAAATCAGATTATTTTGAAGGAATGATAAAGTTGGCACATTTTAAATACTACCATTCTGGATTCACTGTATATAATCAGATTGTCATAAGTATGGAATTAAAAGTAACTCATCAACAAAGAAAAAGGTAAATAACCCAATGGAAAATGGGCAAATGATAGTGTTTACAAAAGAGAAAGTCTACCTAGTCTGTAAACACAGGGGAATGGTCAACTTCATTCATATTCAGGGAAATGCAAATTAAAACAAGAATGAGATACCATTTTATACTCATAAATTAGAACACACAAAAAATTGTAAACCCAACAATACTGAGTATTGGTGAGAAATCCTGCATGTAAATTGATCTCTAACTCTTATGGAGAGCAATTTTGCAATATCCTGTAAAGTTGAAAATGCAGATATCCTACTATCCAGCAGTTCCACAACTAGCTGTCTTCCAAATGAATCTTCCCCACGTGTGCACAAAAGAGCTGTGAAAGAATGTTCACTACAGCATTGTCGTAAGAGTGAAAAACTAGATGCAACATAAATATCCATCAGTAGAAGAATGGATAAATATAATGTGGCATAATCAGTTATATGATGAAGTATTTTACAGCAGTTAAAAAGTCATGTGCTACAAGTAGATACATGAGACTAAATGGGCATCTCCTGTCCGGAGGTGAGATTGAGAAGGCAGAGAGGGTCAGGAGCTGGTTGAATGGACATGGGAAATCCCGGGTGGAAAGGAAGAGTGTGCTGTCACAGTACAGGAAGAGAAATTAGGGTCACATAACAATGTATGTATAAATTTTTGTATGAGAGACTAACTTGAATTGCAAACTCTCACTTAAAGTACAACAGTAAAGGAGAAAAAAAAAGTCACGAGCTGCATCTTTGTAGCTTGTTAACAGGAGGATCTCAGAAACACCAAGTGGGGTGAATAAAGCAAACTGTAGAATTATAGGTACAGTTTGATATCGTTTATGTAATTTGTTAAAAACAAAATACCGTATGTCCATAGATTATGTGTATGTAAAAATATATTTTAAAAATAAGCTGGAAAAAGACACACCAAACCAAATCTATAAGAACAGTTATTCTGTAAAGGGAAATAGAAGTGAGGATAGAGAAACAAAGAATACTTACACATATATATATATTTTTAAAGACTCAAAGCATACGTGAAAAAACGTTAATGATTGTCAGTTCTGGGTTGTAAGTTCTTTGTCCCCTTTTAAGAAAAAACTCCTTAAAAATAAAGAATGTCTAATGGTCACTGTTTGGGGGGATGGTGTCCTATTTTTGATGGACCTAAAGAATTCAAGATATTTTTGAAACTTTGATTTGAAAGACTGTATCCAGATTCCAAGTGTGCTTATTCTGATTCTTTTGCATAGTGTGACATATTTTCCTTAGTGCTTATCATTCTGGATGTTGAATCGTGGATGTTGCTTCATTACCACTCTGCTGTGATTTGTTATCACATAGTTTCTACTTTAAAATGGTTAAACATCACGAAAGTTTTACTTATGCAATGACGCTTTATTTTTATTTGACTGTAGAGATGGTTAGAGGTATACTGGATGGATTATAAAATGTAAAATCAGGCATATGTTGCATATATACAAAGAAAACTTTTACAAGGTGTTTCCAATAACATGATCCTTATTTTTCTTTATTTAGGTGACATGATGACGTTGCTAATGAAGAAAGATACCTTGACAGAAGAGGAAACACAGTTCTACATTTCAGAAACGGTTCTGGCAATAGATGCAATCCATCAGTTGGGTTTCATCCATCGGGATATTAAACCAGACAACCTTTTATTGGATGCCAAGGCATGTGAATGAAGTGTTGGATTAGTAACTTGCTGATTATTTCATAATGAGATGATTTTCTGATTGGCAACTGCAATTTATATTGTTGCTAAACTACATTATTTCATAGAATGATGCAATAGGAGAGGACTCTGGAGTGAAATGACATCAAGGGAATACGGCTGACTTTTTATCTCCTCGATTTCTACTTTTTAAAGCCATCACCAAACGTTTATAATTTAACATTTTCACCTACGTGAATTTTGTAACTAAGACATTTTATAACAATTGGCATTCAAAAGAGGAGTTTATGGTAAGGTTTTTTGTTTTCACAGTTAATATAATCTCTTGATTTTACTGGACTTTTATTTTTTAGGGTCATGTAAAATTATCTGATTTTGGCTTATGCACGGGATTAAAGAAAGCTCACAGAACTGAATTCTACAGAAACCTCACACACAACCCACCAAGTGACTTCTGTAAGTTTGATGTTTTTCTGATTAAAATACAATAGTTGGTTTAATTCATGTACTGTCAAGACCTGCAGGTTCTCTCCTTTCCTTTTCTGTTTCTTTAAAACAATGTGTTTGAAATGTATCTGTGTGAATTTTATTTTGCTGAGAGTTTTTCCTTCATAATTACCATTCTGTCTTGTTGAAATTAGCATTTCAGAACATGAACTCAAAGAGGAAAGCAGAAACATGGAAGAAGAACAGGAGACAACTGGTGAGTCAGTCATGTTTTTGAGAAAGAATTTTGTGCCCTGGACCTAAAATCACATTTGAGTTTTACTTGATCATTTTGTGTCTTCACAATGATTAGTACTTCATGGCAAAGATGGAGGTTGTTCTGGGACCACACTGTTCTCTTAGATTCTCTGTAAAGTGTTTTTCTCCATAAAGTAGAATTCTGATTTTTACTTTATGATTTAACTTTAAATTAGCATTTTATTGAGCAAACCTATGAGTTCGTAACCTGTCTGTTTACTAGCAGTTAACTCTCTAGGTAAAACACATTAAGGTAATTGATTATAGTGAATGACTCATGATTTCCATTTTTCCGTGTTGTATTTTTTGGTTAAATCCTGATACAACAAATAAGGTGGTTGTGTTACTGAGAAATTCTTTATAGACAAAATTAACAGGAAGTTTTGGATGTCAATAACATTACAATAAATAGAGAAAATAAAATTTGAAAGCAGGCTTTATCCCAGATAAACTTAATTAATCTTTTACAGGCAGTCCCCAGGTTAGGAACGTCCAACCTGTAGTTACAAACCAATCCCCGTAAAGCCTATTATATTAAAAATTTGAGGCACATACAGTGGTTCATGACAACAAACAGATGCTACTTTGCAATGCGGATCAAAACATTATTATTATTATTACTGTATTGTGTTAAAGATGTTTTAGTGTATCTGCAAGTGTTTCTTTAATGTTTGTTATGCATAGAAAGGTACACTATATATTATATACTAAGACACACATTTGACTGATGTTAGGTACAAACCGTACCTAACTGTTCCGACTTAAGTACAAATTCAACTTAAAGACGTTTAGGAATGGAACTTGTTTGTAATCTGGGGACTTTTTTTTTTTTTTTTAAATCATTTTATGGTGCTTTAAGTGAATGTTTACACAGGAAATTAGTTTTCCATTCAATAATTCATGCACAAATTGTTCTGTGACATTGGTTGCAGTCCCCTCAAAGTGTCAGCACTCTGCCCATTTCCACCTTGGGTTCCCCGTTTCCCTCCCTCTCCCTGCCTTCTCATCTTTGCTTTTGGGTGAATGCTGCTCTTTTGGTGTCATAGAGTTGGTTATTGTAAGGAGCACATTCTTCATGGGTGTTATTGTTTATTTTATAGGCCAGTCTATTATTTGATTAAAAAGTGGCCTCTGGGAGTGGCTTCAGTTCCATGGTGTGATAGGTTATCTTAGGGTGTTCTACCAGTCTCTATCAGACCAGTAAGCCTGTTTTTTTCATGGATTTGAATTTTGTTCTATATTTTTCACCCATTCTAACCAGAATCCTCTATTGTGGTCCTGATCAGAGCAGAGACTGCTTGTCATATGAAATTGTGCTACCTGCTTTTAACCCCACACTATTTCCCCTCTGTTACTTATCAAATATAAGAATTGCTTCCCCCTTTCCACTCACCTTTATCCTGTTGAGTAGATCCATGAACAATCTCAGGATTAGGAATGTGCTTTTTGACTTTGTTTTCCTAACTTTTTTTTAACAATGCCTGGCACATATATACACTGTATAAATATTTGTTGTATTCAACGAAGTTATGAAATGGAGACTCATTATCCTTCCCTCAGGAAAGTAAATGGGCTGAAAAATAATACTCTGATACACTCTAAAATAAAATGAAATGACCTTTAGATTCGTGAGTGCATTCTCTCGTTAGCCAAAGTAATTGCAAGTTTCCTGTGATTTTATGTTTTTAAATATTTTTTACAAAAGTTTTTAAAATGTATTGAGCTATGCATTAAGGAGGAAAACTTTGTTCTACTTTTAAAAGGAGGAAAACTTTGTTCTACTTTTAAACGTGTCTCTTTTAGGTCAGATTTTACAATTGAGAAAAGAATTGCAGTATTTCCTACTATTAAAGGGGAAAAATACTACTTAAAAATATGTTAAGGGGAATTCTGTATCCCAGAGTATTCACAGATCAGTAAGCATGTGTACATTTTCTTGTTCTCACAGCCAATAATCATGCCTTATATCAGTGTTTCCCGGGGAAGGAAAAAAGAGTGGACTGTATTAGTATTTTGGGCAGAACAGTTCTTCAGCACTTATGTTCTCTGCCCACTTAAATGCCAATTATGCCCTCCCTCAGGTCACTGTGATGGCAAAATCTGCTGTCACACATTTTCAAATAGTCCCTAGAGTACTACCCTTGGTTGAGAGTAACTGCCTTAAATGTATAGTTTTTGAAAGATTTTACATGGATTATCCTAATGGATAAACCAAAAGCCAGTTGCCATTGAGTTTATTCAGACTTATGGCAATCCCATGTGTGTCAGAATAGGACTGTGCTCCATAGGGTTTTCAGTGGCTGATTTTTTGCAAGTAGATAACCAGACCTTTATTCTGAGGCACCTCTGGGTGGCCTTGAACTTCCAGCCTTTCAGTTAGCAGCAAAGTGCATTAACCGTTTGTACCAAAGAGTACCCTGGAATTAAATTTATAATTAAAATCTCTGATGTTTATGCAGTAGTTTATAGTTTACAAAGCACATTTCTTTTCTTGTTTGGTCCTCATATCAACTCTGTTAGGGCAGGTATTGTTACTCCACTTTTATGGGGGCAGAAGCTGAGATTCAAAGAGGTTGAATAACTTGCCTGAGTACCCATAAGTATTAAGTGGGGAAGCCAGGCCTAGTGGGTTCAGCCTTTTCATTCTTTTTGAAATAGATTTAAAGTTAAGTGTATAGATAGCTTGGAGCCGTGGTGGCACAGTGATTAAGAGCTCAGCTGTTAACTGAAAGGTCAGCAGTTCAAATCCACCAGCCATTCTTTGGAAACCCTGTGGCAGTTCTGCTGTGTCCTTTAGGGTCACTATGAGTTGGAAATCAACTCAGTGGCAACAGGTTTGGTTTTGGTTTTTTATATAGATAACTTAGGTGAGCTTCTTGGGGTGGGGGTGGAGGGGCGGAAATCATGTCTTATGAATATTTTATCTGACTCATTACCTATCATTGAGCCTTACACATGATAAACATGCGAAAAAATGTACTGAATGAAAAAAATAACTTCTATGTATATTGCTTTTTCCAGTAGTGAGCCAGTTAAGAATTCTGGTTTGACATGCTTCTCCTTTGCAGGCATATTCCACAGTTGGGACGCCAGATTACATTGCTCCAGAAGTATTCATGCAGACTGGTTACAACAAATTGTGTGATTGGTGGTCTTTGGGAGTGATTATGTATGAAATGCTAATAGGTATGTTTTAACATTAATTTATGTACATAATATATAAAATGTCCTTGAGTGCCATTGATTGAACATATTGCAGATATATAGGCTAGAATATCTGAACTTTAAAACCTGTTCTGTCATCTCCCAATGTTAAATAAATACACAATGATAAATACCAGTGAGCTGTCCAGGGGATCCTCTTTTAGGTAGGAGTGTATTTAACCCAAACTTCCCATGAATCAAAATTGTATCTGCATGGCCTTTCAGGTGAAAGTGTGAGGGGGAGGGGTTTAAATCCTTTGTTTTATTGACTTTATTTGCAGTTTTATTGTAAATTGATGCATGGTGGCGTATTTTTTGTTGTTAAATAGAGCACTCAAGGTTGTTTTGTTTCTTGTAGCACATATGAATAACACATTAAATGAGAAATGCTGATGAAACTTTGTTTTCTCTGATGTGTAGGATATCCACCTTTCTGCTCAGAAACACCTCAAGAAACATACAGAAAGGTGATGAACTGGAAAGAAACGCTGGTATTTCCACCAGAAGTACCTGTATCTGAGAGAGCCAAGGATTTGATTCTAAGGTTAGTGATTGAATCCCTAGATGAGTTCATGGAATCTTAAAACATCACAGGTACCTAAGAGACTAAGTTGCCCATTTCACTTTTGGGAGGGGTAACCCTGATCTGTACAGTCAAAGAAATCAATAAAGAAAAGGAGTTTCAAAAATGTAAGCTTCTAAAAGAAAGTACATAGGGGAAAAAAAAAAGAGTTAAGAAGTGGGAAGGGGTCTTGTATTCAGTTACTGATACATATTAAAAACAAAAAGTCACTCCTGTTAGAATGCAATGACCCTATCCTGTTAAAGAAAAAATAAATAGTAGCAGAAATTTATATCAGGGAAGTCTATATGTGAAATCTTTTCTAAATAAAAGATTTCATTCTGTTCCTCAGCTAAGGAACAAAGTGTTTTGTACTGTGGAGAATGACTGGAGGGAATGTAAATTGGAACAACCCATGGAAACACCTAGTTGGCAGCATATTGTCAAAAATCTCTAAACTGTGCATGACCTTTGGCCCATCAATTCCACTTCTAGGAGTTTTGCCTACAGGGATAATCAGATGCCTGTAAAGATTTAGCTACAATATGTTTATTTTTAATAGTGAAAAACTGGAAACTGTCTCAATTTAACAGTAGTGAACTAGCTAAATAATCATTTATCCATATGTAACCTTTTAAAATGAAATTGTAGAAAAATAGTTAATGAATTTTGAAAATGTTAATATATTAAATGAAAAAAGTAGTCCTAAATTAGTAACTACTGTATCAACACAATATTTTAAAAATTATTATAAAAGACTGCAAGGAAATGCATCAAAATATTTACAGTGGTTATCTTTGAGTATTACAATTATGGATGATTTTGATTTTCTTCCATATTTCCCGCAGTAAACATAGTTAACTTCAGTAAATGGGAAAAAAAATGATGCTTTCAAAAGATTAAGGTCTCAAATAATCCAAATAGAATACTTTAGATGTAACTTGCTTATGATAATTTCTCTGTTTTCATGTTCTAGGTTTTGTATTGATTCTGAAAATAGAATTGGAAATAGTGGAGTAGAAGAAATAAAAGGTCATCCCTTTTTTGAAGGTGTAGACTGGGGGCACATCAGGTATGCTCATAGGCTTTGTACAGGAGAGGTCTCAGTGAAAACGAGTTTATAGACTTCGTGATTAATTTGCCTCTGATCCTGCTAGATTAAATACAAGAAGTAACACTGTTACATACTAAGTCAGTGTTTTCTAGATTATGTAAGTGCATGGAACTGTAATAGCTACAGCTAAATAATTCACGTTAGACTAATGTCCACTTTAAGGGCAAACAAAACCACACATTTACACTTGTTTAGATTTTTTTTATTCAGAGTTACACGAGGAAGGCTGTTAGCGCAGAAAAGATGTATATACGTTGCACACTAAGGAACCCTGGTGGTGCAGTGGTTAAGCACTCAGCAACTAACCGAAAGGTTGGCAGTTTGAAGCCACCTGGCAGCTCCACTGGAAAAAGACGTGGTGAACTGCTTCCATAAAGATTACAGCCTAGAAAACTCTGTCAGGCAGTTCTGCTCTGTCACATGGGGTGGCTATGAGTTGAAAATTGACTCGACAGCACCTAAGTACAACAACATTGCACTCTGTCCTCTTACTCCAGAGTGCCAGTCTCCACAGACATTTCTGTGTCCTTATTATCACTTAAACAAAACAAAACCAGTTTTTGTTGAGTCAGTTCCAACTCGCGGTGACCCTAAGTGTGCAGAATAGAAGTGCACGCTGTCGGGTTTTCAAGGCTGCAACCTTTTGAAAGCACATTGCCAGGACTTTCTTCCGAGGCGCCTCTGTCTGGGTTTGAACTGCCAACCTTCCAGTCAGTAGTTGAGCACTTAACCATTTGTGCTACCCAGGGTTTCCTTATTATCACTGAGCCATTAAAGAAATTAAAAAGCAACAGAGTAGGCCAGTGATTAATATCATTGTTTTACAGATAAGGAAACAGCCTCTGAGGGATTAAATAACTTTCCTAAGATTAAGTCAAAATTCTAGAGTTATACTTGGAAGCCAGACTTTGTAACCCCTCATTTTTTCCTCTCTATAGCATATGGCAGAGCCTTGGTGGTGCAGTGGTTGAGCGTTCGGCTGCTAACCAAAAGGTTGGCAGTTTGAATCTACCAGCTGCTCCTTTGAAACCCTATGGGGCAGTTCTACTCTGTCCTATAGGGTCGCTATGAGTCAGAATTGACTCGATGGCAATGGATTTGGTTTTTTGGTTAGCATGTAGCTTTTCCTTTATTAATTCATAATAAATACAGTCTCTTCTTTAAAATTAGGGGTGGGGAGTTAAATAATGCAAGTAACTTTTAAGAATTTGCTTATAGTTACTTGTGAGCATTGGCTTTTATTCGGTCTATGGCCAAACTACCTTCAATAGTTCTGGTCTGTTCTCCACACAGCGGTAGTTTAGAAACATAAATTTGATCATTCCATATTCCTCCTTCCCTGTGTGCTTAGAATAAAGTTACAAATCCCTAACTGCTTTTCAGGACTGCCTGGTGTGGCTCTTGCCTCCTCATCCAAGTGGCATCTTGGATGGCCTTTCCCACTTCTCCACCTCAGGGCTTTGTCATTTGCTGTTCATTCTGACTGAGGTGCTCTTTTCCTCCCTGTCCTTGCCCTGCCTAGCCAGCTCCTTTCATCCTTCAGGACAGCTTACGTGACACTTCCTCAGTGCACATCTTCACTGGAGATCCTGCTGTGTGCTAGGCACGGTGTCTATTAAAATTATAGCTAGTGTTTTTTGAGTATTTACTATGTGCCTGGCACTGTTCTAAGCATGTCACATGCATTTTTTATTTCATCCTCACAATGAACCTATTAAATAGGTACTACAGTAAAACCTGTGAAGGCCAGAACCTGTGTAAGGTGGAACCTGTCAGAGAAGGAAAATGCAGATATTTTCCACTAATAGAGAGCGATAGAAAAGTGGTAAGACCGCACCCTGTCAAAGACGGAAAACGTGAGACTTGGAAAAACAAGGCAGTCCAGTTGTATTCTGGCTCTCACAGGTTTCACTGTATTATTATCCCTGTTTTACAGATGAGGAAACTAAGACATAGGTTATTTGCCTACAGTGCCACAACTAGTAAAGGACAGAGCTAGACTTGGAACCCAGCACTGTGATCCTCCTATGCTGCATTGTACTCCACGTTCATCATCTCATTAAATAGAACTTCGATACCCCTCCCCCCGCCCCTTTTTATTGTTGGAAGGATGCTTAGAGACTGTGAATCTAATCTTTTGATATTATAGTGAGGAAATAGAATCCCAGAGTAGGGACTTGCCTGCCTAAGGTCATACTACTACTTAGGGACAGGTGAGATAGCTCTCAGGGTTCCTGGCTCCAGGGTCTGTGCTTCTTTCCACTAAAAAACTAATGTAAGTTTATTTTTAGGAAAAATATATATATGCTTTTACATAATTTTGTGAAATCTGCACCAATTGATCCAGTAAATATTTTCTGAATAAATAAAGCTAATAGCCTTATGCCTAGAAGCAGTAAAAACTGAGACATTCTTGCACTCAGATTTCATCACAAATATTAGTCCCTTCAGCCTTTGCACCCTTTTTTTCCCAAATTACTTTTGATTTATGGATCCTTTATTAGAAGACTTCCATTCCTGAATCAATTAGGTAAGATCCAGTCCCCACAACAGCCAGGGTACTTTATATAATTATAAAATCTCTTAAATAAAATTTATTCTGTTTTACTATTTCCTTTCATTAACTCTTGGTTTTCCATTTTAAAAATAGCATGAGAAAGTCTTGGTACAAAGAGATAAAAATTCCAACTATATGAAAATATCTTAATAAAAAATTATACTCCTTAACTATTTAAAATCTACTTAACTATATTCAAACTCACAATAAATTTCCTTGGCTCTTGTAATACCTATAGAACAGCATACAGAATTTGCATGTAGAATTGTTAATTGGAAAATTAAGAGTTCAAGAAAATTTACCATGGTTGCTCAATACTTCATCACTTTTTTATAGGGAAAGACCAGCAGCAATCCCTATAGAAATCAAAAGCATTGATGATACTTCAAATTTTGATGACTTCCCTGAATCTGATATTTTACAACCAGGTAAGACAATCTACAACATGACTAACTCTGTTAAAAGACTATGAAGGTGATGTCATTTTCACTAACGAATTATCTTGCTCTTTGTTAATCTTTCTATTTTTCAAGCGCCAAACACCACAGAGCCGGACTACAAATCCAAAGACTGGGTTTTTCTTAATTATACCTATAAGAGGTTTGAAGGCTTGACTCAGCGTGGCTCTATCCCCACCTACATGAAAGCTGGGAAATTATGAATGAAATCACTTTCGCCCACACCCAAGAGAACTCAGGTAGCTGCATCACCAGGCTTGCTTGGCGTAGATAACAATACACTGAAATACTCCTGAAGACGGTGGTGCTTATTGACTACAAGAGGAAATTCTACAGGATTAGGATTTCTAAGACTACTACAGGAATTGGTTGGCAGTGCCAGCTGGCTTTTTTTTTTTTTTTTAATATTTTATTATTTTTGTTAACTTTATTATACGAAGGTACTGGAATAAAAGGAACGTACATCCCTTTCTAACTGCACTGCCTATATGCGTATTAAGGTCCATTCTGCCTGTGTGTTCTGTGGCTTTCTACTGTAACATTTTTAATCAATTCAGGAGAAACACATATCATTTAAAGCAACATAGGCTAACCTGTAGGTAACACTGCAGTATTGCTGTTTTACTGCAAATCTTATGGGTCTAGATAATCAGTAAAAGCCATCTTGCATAGCTGTTGTTAGAAGACTTGCCCTGTTGGTTTGGACATCTATAGAATATATATATGAATTCAATTTCTATAATGGTTTTAAGAAATTTAAAAAAGGAAATACACTGGTTATTTAAAAAATAAAATTTATGATCATGTTATTACACAAACTCCACAGTAGGGAATGACAGGTTTATAATAAGGAAGAGGAAGTTTAACACCTTCGCTCAACCACTGCACTAATATATTCACTTTGCATTCAGAAATGCTGATGACCTTTATATACATAGTCTCTGTACTCATAGGGAGATGTACTGTATTATATAAAATGTAAAGTTGCTTTTCTTGAGACCAGAAGACTTCGTTTTTAATAAGAGAACATGGCATTATTTTAATTTGATTATGGTGAGTTGAATTTAAGAAATGACCACAAAGGCTGCTTGTAGAACTAGTGTATTTTTATTAAACTATTTTTTTAAATGTCAGACTTCTGATCACATAAATGGACTTGTAGAGAACAAAGAGCTGTTTACTTTGGTTTTCTAGAAAGTTGTTACATATCATGGCTTTTATTTCTTTTGTTGAAAACATTTTCCTTTGATAGTACTTGTATTGTTGTGCCATTATTTTCTTATACTCCAAATGTACCAAAGATCATGAACAGAGTGGATGTTCACAGCCGAGTAGACTTCCTTTCCTGTAGGAATGCTGTATTCAGACATGACAGGTCTTTGATAGAAGTGAGCTTATTCAAGGGCAATATTGTTCATGTTCAGCTTCATCACTGTGGTTTATGTAGGTGGACTTCAGGAAATAAATGCAGTCCAGGGGGGTTGTAATGAGAGGATAGGAGAGAGAACGTCAGCACTAAATAATTTGGTGAATGAAATAATCTTTTCTGAGTTAACATTTTAATTCTAAAACAATTCTCTGAGGTTTTGGTTTCGTAAGTACAAGTTGAGGAGTAACACTTTATCAAAGAATGGCCTAATGGTTGTCTTAACTGTTGATTGATAGAATTCGTTTTAAATATAGCAATTATAAGCATTGCAAATGATCTCTGATCAAAATCTAAAGTGACTTATTTATAGGAATGTTCTTCCTAGCAAGGAAGAATAGCATAGGAGCATTATGCAAATCTACAAAAGCTTTTACATATGTTGCTGCTAGGTAGCTCCACAATGTTTCAATAAGGCCATCGAGGGTTTTTTTTCCTTGTTCTTTTTTTTTTTTTTTTTTTTTTTTTTAGTATTTGTTGAGTACTTATGTGTTCATGTAATATTTCATCTCCATTTTTCTTGACTAGATCATGTGGCTGAGTATCTCGGAGAGAGCTATTAAAATTCTGGGATTATCTGAATTTGGCTATGAATTTTCTAACTATAACTGCCTTTAATTTTTAAAATAACCTTTAACATCTGCCAGGATTTAACAGATTTTCTCCCCACCTACCCTTTTTTAAAAAGAACTGTTTTGCTAGTGTGATGGTGAATGGGTAAGATATGAGGACATTGCAGTGTTCTCCTGTTCTAGTACAGAAAAACATCATTAATTGAAGTTGAGAGAGATTTGAGAGGTTGATATAAAAGAGCTGAACTACCTAAATTTACTTATTAATTGAATAAAAATAGAGCACTGTGTTATGATCAGGAAGCACTTGGAAATAATTATGATTTCCTGGCAGTGGAAGTGTAGTGCTATAAAGTTTACTTTGTTTAGAGTCTCATTTTTCCCTGGAGTTAATAGGGTGATTCACAATCTTTGGGGTTTTCTCTTCATCAAAAACATTTCTTAAGTGCCTATCTAAAAGCAACGAAAGACTGTATCTGCCCTTTGGAAGCTAAGAATTTGATTCATGATGCAAATTAGCTAGATAATTTGCAAAGTACCCTTGAGATTGAATTTTCTCTGTTATACATTTCCCATACTTCAGGTGAACCATTTAATTTAAATGATAAAACCCTATCTAATCAACTGGGCATAATGACATTTTCTTTAAATTGGACTATTTTGAATTAAAAGCGTTTTATTATAAACTGTGTGTTCTTGGTTTTTCTAAGTATATAGAACGCTTGTATAACTCAGATTTATTGATTTCCTGGTTTAATGTAGATTTTGTCTTTTTTATTAAAAATATTTGTATTAAAGCAAGTTATGTTACTTTCCTTTATATGCATTTCTTACAGCTTTAAATCTCCTTTAAATTTATTGAAACATAGCGCTGTCTGAAAATAAGGAATTGCTTATAAATCAGCCTCTTCTGAATCGAATATGGGGCTGATGTAGCTAGTTAATGAAACTAACCAGCTCACTTAAGCTAGTTAGTTGAATGAAAACAACAAATGTGGAATATCCAAAACTTTCTTTGGTTGCTAAAGCTTAAGACTGGGTTTCATTTATTTCTATAGTAGCATAATATTTCTGGTTTTTTAAACACCTACATATCGTTGTGTAAATCTGTAAATTTTAAAATATTTTTAAGTACATTTATTTTTGGTAGAATATTCTAGAAAACCTTCAGACAATCAATAATCATTCTCTACTGGTAAAAGAAACAACTATCCCTCTTTTGATGATCTAGAAATAAATGAATTGAGATTTTAATCAGTAGAGATCTAGCTACTAAACACATTCTGTCTTTGAATTGTTAAGATTCAGAAAATTCTAAGTGACTATTTTGCTACAGTCATGATTATCTTCCCTTGTCTTTATTTAAGTTTTATTTTCTCTTTAGAAGTGCACTTATTTCTGAAAAATTTTAATGAAACAAACACTTAGAACAAATATAAATACAAGACATTTTGGACTACTAGATATATTTTAGATTTTTATGAAAAAAATGTGAGGGGATATTGCTGCTTTTAAAACGAATAATAAAAATAGATCTTAGTTCTTTTTTTTAAAAAAAGCAATATAAATTATTCAGCAGTTGTCTAGAAAACTAATCATCAGGCTACTGAGTTCTGTGTTCAGTTACTGAGTTAAAAAATGTTTTGGTGGCATGAGGGCTTTTTCATTGAAGGTAAGACAAAAATAAAAGCTATGTTTATAAAATTTCCATTGGTGAGGTTTTTTGGTTTTATTTTCAAGTTTTGAGAAGTGTTATCAAAAACTTAAGACAGACTATTTTGTAAATGTATCCAACTTTTACACTTAAAGATCATGTCAAGAACAAGATAAATGTTTATATTTAAAATCTCTGTTCATATCTGCAGCTAAAAGCATATGGTTGCACAAATTACAAGTTATAATTTGAGGTACACGGTAGATATACAGCTTATATACAACTCTCTGACTAATTTTCCTGAATATGGTTTTAATTATACTTCTGGGCCAAAACCAATTAGCATGCAGTAAATTGAAAATGCCTCAAAATAGTATGTAGACTAGAGATACAAGTGGCCTGGGTACCTGGGTACCACTACATCCTGCGCCATGAAGACATTGATACTCTGTATCTCCTGAGCCCAGAAGCAGCCACTCAGAATCCTGTTCAGCATACTTGTGCTGTGTGCTGTGCCACTTGTTCCCTGAAGTACATCATTTCAATAATGCCATTGTAAGACTGAGAGAAAACATTGAATGTCAAAATTTGGATTTAGAGGATACTTGGAAATTCTAAATTCATCTTTCAAAAGCATCTAATGGATAAAAAGAACTTACAGTCGTATAAAAATGCTTTCACTTACATTATTCATTTTGTTTTTTACGATTACTCTGTGATGTAAACATAAGTACCATCATTTTACAGATGATGAGCATGAGGCTGACTGTGATTTGCCCAAAACACAGGTAATAAATTGCTCTTGAGCCCAAGTGTTCCTTCTACTCCCCCAAATCATAGAGCGTGATTCGTTAACAAATTACTTACCTCATACACTTCTGGGACGTCAGAAGAATACATAGGGTGATAGTGACAGATTTGTCACTTTGGGTACTTTTGACTTCAAGGGACAGAAGGTGCAAGTAAAAGTGGCTTCAACAATAAGGAAAATTATTTTCCTGTGTAACACAAAGACCCAGGATAGGGAGTTTCCAAAGTAGTTTAAGATCTCAAACACATTAAAGATCCAGGTTCTTCCCATTTTTCAATTTTACATCCTCCGAGTGTTGGCACTGTCTTAAATCTTGGCCTCTCAGAGTGACTAGTTGGCCGCAGGTATCAAAATCCTCATATAACATCCTATGAACAGGCACTTCGCCAAAGAAGACATTCAGGCCGCTAACAGACACATGAAGAAATGCTCACGATCATTAGCCATTAGAGAAATGCAAATCAGAACTACAATGAGATACCATCTCACCCCAACAAGGCTAGCATTATTCCAAAAAACACAAAATAATAAATGCTGGAGAGGTTGTGGAGAGACTGGAATACTTATACACTGTTGGTGGGAACGTAAAATGGTACAACCACTTTGGAAATGGATTTGGCGCTTCCTTAAAAAGCTAGAAATAGACGTACCATATGATCCAGCAATCCCGCTCCTTGGAATATATCCTAGAGAAATAAGAGCCGTCACTCGAATAGATATATGCACACGTCATTGCAGCAGTGTTCACGATAGCAAAAAGATGGAAACAACCTAGGTGCCCATCCATGGACGAATGGATAAACAAATTATGGTATATCCATACAATGGAATACTATGCAACGATAAAGAACAACGATGAAGCCGTGAAACATAACATGGAGGAATCTGGAGGGCATTATGCTGAGTGAGTTTAGTCAGTCACAGAAGGACAAAT